TTATGATAAAAAATATTCAAAACAGAAGATAATCTAGTAAAAACATTTATCACAGCACATAATCGCCCATTTGACTCATTTTGTTGTACCTCTTAAATTCTTTGCACATCGAAATAGGTCTTCAGGACTATAATTAACCAGGCTCCATTAAAAAGGCACTTAAACGGGGCCATTATTTAGCTGTCAGAATAGCTGGGAATTACGCGAAATATATTAAAAGTTACAAATATAACCTCAGGTTAATAGGCCATAAAACACCTTAATACAGGATTTGCTTACACAAAAATGTAAGCGAAATTTAATGCCCACAAATTATACAATCGCATTATAAAGAGGACAATTCAGGTCTTTGCAGCTGAGTAAGCAGTGCGGACTTGTGAAATATAATTTCGTAATTAAACTCGTTTTTCATACACAACTGCTGCTTAAGTTTCGCGTGTTAGCGCGTTAGGCTATTTAGCTGATTTTAAAAATGTACTCTATATTATTTGGTAGATACCCTACAAAAGTAGTATTTATTAATTCTGATACATATATCAAATTAAAAATCCAACATTTAAAATGTGCGCCTAAACGCAAATGTTGCGAGATAACGCTGCATTACGGCTAGTGACGTCACGATCATATATTGACTATTGGTGTATGATCTACAATCTACATGTATTTGTACTAAACATTTTAACAATGATTGAAGTAATAAAATTAGTTACGAATTTATTTATTTTTCAATGCAGAGAATAGAACGGTAACACTAGGAAGCTGATATGAGCAAGTGACGTCATTAACCTGACCAATCAGGAGCATTTTGTATCACGTGACAAATGTTAATTGTTATTTACGTTTTTAATTAAATCCATGAATACGTTTAACTTATGTTGCTATTTCTAAACTTATACTTAATACTGATAACGGTAATTGACGTAACATTTTTCTCATTGGCAAACGGTCCGTTGTACTATTAAACTAAGCAACAAGGCTATAAAAGTTAGCAGCTTAAGCCTATATATATATATACCTTGACAGTATCTTAACACTCTATTTGAAGAGTTATCAGGGACCAAACCACGAAATTATATATTCAACGTATAGTCCGCGCCGCGATTGTAAACTCTCGATCCCTGGCGCCCTCTACGTCACTGGTCAAATTAGCATATAAATTAATTTTATTTTACAATATTCCGCTCTAAAATTACGTAGGACAGAAATTTATAATTCCGCTAAGTTTTTGTTATACAAGCTGGGACTCGGTGAGTGTCGGTTTTTGGTCAAATTCAATATTATTTAATTAAATTTAAAATAAACGTTTAGATTTAATAAGGTTACTAAGCCAGAGCCAAATCCATGTAAGTATTTATTTTAGAAATGGATAATGCTTTGATTTAATTTCAAATATTTTCTTTATTATTATTATTGATTTTATTTATATTGTGTGCTTATATATTACCCATAAATCAAATTAGTATAAATAAAATCCCATTATCTAAAGAGACACAATGCGTCTGTATTAATGACCTCTTCCGTTTTATTTATAGGCAAATGGTTGATCTAACCTGTCTTATCCCACCGAAAGAATTTCTTTATACAAATTGTATTTTGCTTTGTAAATAAGAGTAAGGTGGTAATTTTTGAGTTAATTTAAGATAAGTTATTTTAGACGCGAAACGGAACGGAACATGTATTTCATAAACAAGCAAATATACAGCCGGTCTCCAAAGCTCTTTCATACGGTTGACTTGAAATAATGTTCAGTTGTTCGTAAATATTCAATGAGCGTGCTTCGTGACCTTTGCATCCACCAGACTCACAATGGAAGCGGAAAGTAGCGGGCCAGAGGTGCGCAACAATTACGTTATGATACGTGTTAAAGGCGGCAGCGATTCGAACTAGATGAGCCGAATGTTATTCTAACCGAAACCGAATTTCATCAAAATAACTGTACAAAACAATATTTTTTATTTAAAATAACAATGTATTTAACGTACTTGGATAAGGGTTAATGCTTAGTTGCTTAAAGTCACTTCGTAAATAGGCCCTTTTTCCAATAAATATAAAAGACAAAAATATTATTCTCAGTCATCCGTAGAAGATTACATGTTAGGCCATTTATGCAGGCAATGAGGGTAGTTACGTTAAATTGTAATCCTAATCCTACCCTACTTCATTGCTCACCTAACACTCAAGCATTAAATATGTTTAGTATAATATTAACCATCGCAAACATTCGTGTTGACATTTTCATATATTTTTTAGATTTATCTCATCATCGTCAGCATTTGTAATGTAAACGCAAAGCAATGCATTAATTTACGACACATAAGAAATATATATTTACGTAGAGTCGGTAGACTACGACAGCGTCTTTTAAACGATACATTATCTAAATGTTTTATAATAAGCGCTACAACCTATTCCTTGATCCACTCATCTCACAGATCTCAAGATAACCATTTCGCAGTTGCAACGTACCTGCCTATTACCTGCATTGGAGAGCCATTGTTCCCGCTAAAATAATAACCAGCTAAAAATTACCCGTCTCTGCCTCGGGAGTCTGTAATGATCAGAGCTTCAGATATGCTTATTGCTTAATGCCTGTAAATTCTTAGCTTTGAATAAGGACTTACTATTATCGCTTATTTCCAGCATATATAAAAATAACTTTCGATAAATGTTTCGTGATGTTATTATAGATTTATAAAGGTGTATGAGTATGTCGGATTACATTTTAGGTAGGTGATATACTATACTAGCCTATAACATCTAAACAAGAGCCTGTCGATCTATGTGGTCTTTCGGAAATCCACAGCTGATGAAAGAGATTCTCAGGTTTTGTTTGGAGGGTGTTCGTGGCCCTCGCGGAATTTTTCCTACACACAATACTTCTAAACATGCTGGACCTGGAAGGCTCGAACATTATTTTGTGTCCAACGCGAACTACTATGATCGAACCAGTTTTTTTATTCTATGACAAAACATAATGTTTAAATTTGTTTGGAAAAAACATATTTGTGTAAAAATTACCGATTGTAAAGCGTTCAAACACATTTCATCATCTATATTGGACACAAATCAGATATTTGTCGTCAATTGAAATGACATAGACTAAAAGTAATTACAGCGTTTAGTTTGAAATCTAATTTCAGCTTAAGTTAGATACGCTAATCGTGAGCGAAGTCATTACAAACACCAACTATCCGATGTGTGGTGTAGAGTGCAGGGTAAATATCCTGAACACAGTCAAAACTACGACAAAGGCTCAAAGGCTTACAACACAGTCAAGCGCACATACGAACTTAACCAGTACTAGATTTAAATTAAAAACATTAATAAGTAACGCTTCTTTAAATTATTAATGAGGACGTTACGTAAGACGTAAGAAATGTGTTGCCAGTGCAGTAGTTTTGTGGGCTAATGATTAATATATACCAAAGATTGTCCTAAGCTACTTCTATACGGCTTGAAGAATTAAATTTTCTCTATAAATATACACCTTCGCTTAACAAGAAAAAAAATACTAAAACTCTAATGTATCTTGAGGCTTACATAATATATTTATATGTGAAACATACTTATTATAAAATACAAATATTCTTTATTGACACAACATAAAACAACAAGAATAACTATATAAAAATTGATGGTAATTAAGGACAAACAGCGACTTTATAGCTAAATAGCTATCTCTTCCAAGCAACCGTGGTAGAAATGAAAATTCAGTAATAAAAAAGAATTGCGTGACAGCTGAAAACGGCAGTTTAATCATGACCAAATAACTATATAAAATATATAGGTATATAATTTAAACATAGTTGCTATAAAGATATGCATACACATGCACGTCACATCTTTCAAACTCTACTCTCTTCGAGTTTTGACCTTAGACGCGGTGGGAACTCATAAAATATAAAAAGCATTAGAAACTTGATATATGGTTTAAATTAATATACAATTATACATACAAAAATAATACCGTCGGTTATACTACAAGATCTCATCTTCAATATGAAACCACAAGAACACCTTGAAATGCACTAACAGCTTGAAATATCTAGAATTATTTGAGAATATATGAATATGAAGTAATATATTATGTACCCCGCTAAAGCGAGAGAACTTTTTTTGTTCCAGTAGTTTCCAGGCAATTCCTAAATTATATAACAAACTTGGTAGCTTGGAAAGCGCTGCAAAGCCTGCAAACTTCCTAAACAATTTATCAGCAATAGTGAGCTATTCCGTCTTCAACTTTGATAGGATATTCCATGTAACTTGCCGATTCAATTCCCTTTTGTTTCCAATTCTTAGTGTTTCATGAATAGTTATTTCAATTCAATATTAAGGAACGCCTAAAGGATGTTAGAGCAAATGCTTCGATTTCCCTAATCTGCAAATTTAACTAAAACGTGAACATTGAATTTGTTCACACTAATGTTCAAACCTCCGCTTAAAAAAATTATACCACACCAGCTTAAAGAATTACCAAAATGTTATATTTTAGAAATTCGAAAATAAATTGAAAAAATTTAGACACGGGCAGGACTTGAACTGGCAACTTCAAAATTTTTTCAATTTATTTTCGATTTTTTAATTATATAGTGCAATAACATGTGAAAAATATTGAAGTCTGCAAAATGTCGTCCCACCTACGTACGTTCCCGAATAGTGTTTTTTGAAACGTGTACTAAATTTTATTTATTACTCGATAATTTCTTACGAAATTGCTTGCAAACTTTTATCTGGTCGGAATTAGTTTTGATAGCTCCTGTCTTAACAGTAACTATAAAGCCTTTTATCTAACTTTTAATGTTGGTTTAAATTCAGTTTAATAAGCGATTTATCTTATAAAAAGTTATATTTATTCCTTAATATATTATTGTTAGAATGCCGAACATTTAAAAAAACAATTTAAATATTTTGGACACCTTTTTATATGTTGTATAACTCTTTCTTTGCCGTCATTGTGCATCTATCTATGATGAAAAAAAAGGTAGGTTAGAGAAATAATAATGAAAGAAAAAATAACGGAGGACATACAAGTATGGTCCAACTTGGTGGTAGGTAATATCACAACCATATATCTCAACTAGATGTTTCTGTTCTTACGAGCCATTTAATATCTAGATTTCCAGACGAGTCGAAAATGTTTCATATAAATTATAAATTTATTAGAAACCCGATAGGGATATAAGCTACGTACCGTTAATTTTCAGCTACCATTAATTACACCAACGCGCCCGTAAAGTTTAGGAGACACATAATGATTACCTGCAACTATCTTTATACACATCCTATGAATGAAAAGAAATGAGTCTGCCCATGCCACCTATAGGGATAACACGTTTCATTTCTGCTACAAAGTGTTTGAAGCCTAAACATATATGTACTTCTGTCCTCAAACATACAATTCTCTTAAGTACAACGTAACGTAACGTCTTCTAACGATAAATCAACGGAGGGAAATGTGACACTTGTATTATCTTTCATCATACCTCGCGGGAATCTACGTGACAATAAAGGTTATATTATTTTTGGGTTAAGATTATCTTTGGCTACTATGTAGGTAAGTCCAATGTCCAAATTAATATAACTTAACTGTATCTTCAATGCACGGTGCATTATACTTGCAATAGATAATATGCAACAAAGGTTTTTTACATTTAATGTACTTTTGTAATTTAATGTACTTGTCCGGTACGATCTCCCCGTGACCACGGCTGCTGTAAAGCATCTGAATCGTCGGGCCGTAGTGAAAATAATTTTCAAATAAGTTTTTTTAAGTGTAATAATTGCGTAAACTACAGACAGTATCTAAAAAAATACATTATTTATCTTCCAGTTGATTCTTGCACGAAGATAATATTTTTTAGTGATAAGTAACAACATTTTTGCCACTATAGGTTAAGTCGTTGAAACTTACGCGGTTGTAAATACATAATATACTACTAATTTGATTTTAAAACTTGTAACACTTTCTAATTTTAAGAAAAAGTGGTTTAGGTACGAACCTAATCTACTTTTTCTTAAAATACTTAATGACGACATTGAAGTAGCTTAACTAGAGTTAGCTTTTATGAGGTCTAGTAGAATAAGGTAAGAAGCGATCGTCAATTCAAGGTATACCATACAGTCAGGGAATGGGGCAGACACACTTCTGTGTCCGTTTTAATTACCGACTCCATTTATAGTAATAGCTCAAACTTGCAGACCCTATTCAATGAAATGTACTGTTTCCCAAGATCGTAATCCAGAACCTCTCCAGCTCGACGCAATGATGGCGATTAACGTTGAACCAGATAGTTCAAATACAAGTTCTTGTTAAAACCCAACTGAATTGGAAATGAAATGTCCAATTTCCTTGATTATTCCATTAGCCACTGTGTGCATAACGATTGAAAGTTTAATCAGGAAAATTCGTCTTTTAACGTTTGTCCACAAATCATCAGAAATGTTAGCTCAGTCAGAAAATCAAATTAAGGAGCGATTCAAATTGAGAATTAATTTATTGGAATAAAAGCCTTTATCGGCCCAATGTGATTTTTGTAAGAATATAAAGACTTGGTCACGTGATTTTAAATGTAAAATTCTAATCGACTTGTTATAAAAATAAAATAAATCCCTGTAGTAAGGCCAATCCTTACATTGTAAAAATGTTTTAATAACTACCTGCCTTGTTTTTCATATGTTGTTATTAATATTATTAAATACAGGATAATATTGACAGGACAAATAGTGGTTATGCGGGAAAGGCAAATATGAACAAAGTGGACTGCATTAAAGGATCCCCCTTTATAAGCAAGTAAATCTAAGGAGTCGGGTCAATTCTTAAAGTCAGTATAGAATATCACGCCACTCACGACCAAACATCTATCTGCTAGGGTACTAACCTGAATCTCCTCTCGATCTCTCGCTGTCTCCTGCAGGAGCCTTTAAAGTTCTTGATGTCCTCGGCGGCGTGCAATGTCGTAAGAAAGATTCCTTTGGAAGCGAACAACACAAGCAAAATTATCGCAGAAGCTATAAAAAGAACGCACGCGGCGGTGTAAAGCACCGCGCGATCGAGAGGCCAGGCAATTTGTGCGTAAGCGAGACGAACGATAACCGTAAGCGCACGAACAAATAGAATGTAATAAATTTGACTATTTTCTTTTATTTTCTTTTTTTATATGAAAATTAATTGATTGAATCTTTGCAGAAAGTTTTAAAGTGTGTAAATTTATTTTTCTTTATAATCCTTACGTATTAATTTGAAAACACGATCCGGATATGAACTTATGACCATAAAAGTTCCGTGCTATTGTACTAAGAGTTCAATTATTAATATAATTCTTATGCTTCACAAAAATACTAGATACCAATGTATGCAAAAATTTGTTTCTAAATAATTTCACCTATTTTACCCACAGTTAGAAATAAGCGTTTAAACTCATAATTTTACTTTAAATTTAATATACAAGCTTCGCAGCGCCGAGGTCGGACGTACAATTAATTATTTTCTTAATTACAAGTTAATTAAAACATAACAAACGGACCAATAGATAACTGGAAGAGTTAATTTGGTGTAACAAATTCACTGCGCATTCGGCAGTTTCGTGAACAATTTACAAACAAAATACCGGGAAATCTTATATTACTTACATGTTTTACTATTATAAACACTTTTAACGGTTCAAAACGAAATATACAGTTTAATAAATTTTCGTCTAAGTGTCGAAGAAAGTCTTGCTATCTAAGAACAATAGTTCTTTACTTAAGATAATAAGTAAAATATTTCGCAGTTTATACTGTTTTTTTTTTATACACATCGTACAGACCAGAAAGTTACCTTACCTTAATGATATCTCGGAACTTTATAATGAGAATAATTACCATTTACGTCTTTAAAAAAAATTGAAGAAAAAAAATACGCAATACAAAGCAGTCTCATGGTTGAAACCATACTAGTAGACTATAAGATAATCATTAAATAATCTCATATAAAATATCAAAATATCTATTTACAGCCTCTATTAGAACAATATTAGTTATTTTTCAACGTATGCAAGATAAAGGAGAAACACCGCTTGATGAGTCCTCAGGGAGACAAACGAGTGAACTGGACACATAGTCAACGACTATTCACTAAGATAAGCAAGATCATTGGATTGTAATAACAAAGGAAGCAACGGGCCAAAACAAGGAATTCAATTCGGACACCCAATAATGTACCGAGTAGATTGCGTTTGCACATACTCCGGTCGAGTTTACGCACTGTGCAAGGGGATACATTAAATATTTTAAATTAATGTCGAAATTTAATATGAACTTTACGTTTTACAAATTGAAATCTATTTTAGATTCAAAAAATGACGACACGGGCAGGATGTCAACCAGTATCCACCAATTAATTTATTTTCTCAAATTTAGTTTGTTTAAAGCTGTAGTTTAAAACCAGTAACCGTAAAAATATAAGTTACAACATGCTAATATGATCATTATAGCCGTCAAATATTAAATCATTTTTATGAGAATAAAAAATCTAAACATAACTCTGATAACCCAATATAAATGTATGTTACGAAACTGTTTTTTTATTAATAGTGAAATTTAATTTATCTTATTACGTATTAGAATTTTTACGGGCAAGTCATTCAATCATCAAACTTTTGTGCCTCACCTGACCGAATATAATATCATTTGACAGATTCATTTAAGAAAAAATAGAACCCTAAACGGATGTTTCTATTTATGGCCTTTAACCATAGAACCATGGAGGCAGTTATATAGTAATTTATAGCTATACATGTACATTTGATTAATTCTAAATTATTTAATGCCATATCGATTTGTGCATGGCGTAAGACAACTACTGACACAGCCAGAATAAACACAGAAACAGGCAAATGTTGTCTGTGCACGGGACGATTTACCTAAGACAACACGAGGTATGTGTTTCCATTCACACTTTAACGACGAACATCGTTCCTACTGTATGAATCTTCTTCTATATCTTTATATATTACTAGTCGTGCCCGCGTTTTCCGCGTGAAATGTTTATTTTGACATCTTATTATTTATTTATTGAAAACGTACATATTTTTTGGACGGTTTTCGCAGCGTACGCAACGGAAACCCTCAAAGATTGTTTATATTTTTATTATTATTTATTTTCCCTATTTATTCCATTTTCACCAGTCTTATCGGTCCTATTGGCCGCAAGCAACAATTTTTTTTTTAATTTGAACGAGTAGTTCTTAAGATTCACCTTTATAATATTACTATAGATTTTTACAAACACTGGGGTTACATAATCTAAGACTAATTACTCTAAATAAGTGAATGCTGCAAGAAATAAGGATAGGCAGTTTATAGCTTACGTCTGTATGTTGTACATATTTGTGTATCTCTTTCTATGTTCCATGTCCGATTAGTTTCCACAAGCACAATGGACACTAGGCACGAGATACACTGTCTGTCAAGGGCCATCCCGAAGCTATGCGATTCCACTTCAATGTACACACATACACACATTCCCGTGCACATATAATATGATTAATATATTAGCAGTGCGTAATGTGTACACAGGGTAATGAGCCGTAGGAGCTTTGTAGCAACTCTAGTGAATTACCATATTTTTATTGTAAGCAACAGCTCTATATAATTATCAGAGGCATGGACCAGTTGTCGTGTAATGTATCAGCGCTTTATCGGATGGAAAATTTATCTTTTATTTACCCTGGCCATCTATATTATTTTGAACGGCAACCATTGCGATGGGCTCGTTGGTCCAAAGCCAGTAATGTATGGCTAATCAATGGGTCCTGGGTACGAATTTTATTTATCTCGACCAGTACGAAAGGTATTTATTTGAGTCAAAATAAGAAATTTGATCTGAAATTTGGTGCACACATTTAATTAAGATGACAATACAATATATTAAAATCAATAACTTTATAAATGCAAGATGGCCGCGGATACAAAATGGCGTATTACATATTTTTTCTTAACCCCCTAAATATGTTTATTAAATGAAACTACACTAGTAAAACACGATGATTATGTCAAAATTTAAATGTTTTTGTAGTTTTCAGTGCACAAAAAATAAAACCCTTTAACTTAAAAGTTTTTTTATCGATTTTTATTTTGTAGATAGATAGACGACCGTTTTAGTTTGTAATAACTTTTTAATTATTGTCAATTTAAAAGCTGTGCGGATGAAAAATTTTATTCAAATAAACAAAATAACGTTTTCAAACACACTTACCTTGATATACCTACTAAGGTATTCAAGCAATTGTCTATAATATATGGTAATTCACATTTTTTTATATAACCGTGTTAATAAAATCCGCTGTCTCCAACAATAAATTATGTTCCCACTACATCGACGCTTCCTAAATCCTTAAGGAGACCACCATTCTTCATTTCACGTCTTTGGGTAGAATCGTTATTGTGTTGTCGACCAGTATATTCTGACACCAACCTCCCAGCGTTATAACAACCTAAGACAAATACTTCTAAGTATAATTATATATTTCTAGAGAATTCAAATACATTTTGTAAGGTATAAGGAGTTTTTTTTAAAGATAAAAGACAAACAAGCATGTAGTTCCCTTGATGGTAAGTGATATATTCCAGCCTATAGCATCTAAACAAGATGCGCTGTTGGCCTATTTTGGTTTTGGATATTTGGAACCCACCACCCATTTAATATCCAGATTTCTCGAGTCCAACTGTTTGAAAAATTATAAATTGATTAGAAAAATGAAATGATGGACCCGGTGGGGATCGATCCCCGACCCGTTGATTATTAGCCATACATTGCTACCTTTAACCAACGAGCCCGTCGTATTGCAAATATTTTTTACGAAAAGAGATATGAGATAGTCCTGAAACTCAAGCTGAGTTCTTATTTAATCTGAAGACGATAAGATTAAAAAACAGTATAATATAAAATAATATCAATAAAGCAGGACATAGGGAATGGTGGATGGCACTCCATTTGTGCTTTACCACTAAAGGTGTTCAGCGCCGGTTTTCTATCTATTTTGTTCTTCTATTTAGATATGTAGTACTCGCGTATATTACAGGCAATTTTTAAAAGGTATATTTTCTCCATGTTAAAAATCAATTTTCTCAATAACCCTATATAAATCAGCTTGTATATATTCGTAAAGCAGCAAATACCTGTCTTCGGATTTACTGCGGGCAGAGGGCTCGTTATAGAGTGGTCTGCGCTGTTTGAGACATATTTCTCATGTCGTGGTACCCAGGGAATTTGCCGATACGATGTGTCTTTTGATACTCCGCTACGTTATCGGTTCAAAGTACAGAAAACATATTATATCCATAAAATGTCTTAGTGGTAGAGTATTCTAAAAGAGAAATAGTGGGATTCAGTTAAAGTAAAGAACGAAGGATAACATGGATGGTAACGCGTTACGTAACGAACTTGACGAATATTGACCAGCCTTAGGGGCTACTCAGATTTGATTAATTCTCGACAACCGTCTTTTTTATTTGTAGAACGACAAAATTTCGCTTAGTTTTACATTAATTATATAAGTAAAAAAATTTGCTGTGATAATCTCTAACATTTATTAAAACAAAGTGCTAACTATTGTTTCTAACAATGTAATATTCCAATAACTATTAAATAATAACAGTTTGTCAATTTAATTAATTTTCAAATATTATTGCACATCATTTTACATATATAAATTAAAATTATATTTAGAATCGAAAAATTCGATGAGAAGGCCGGGGCTTGGACCGCCATCCAAAGCTAATTGAGCTACCGTTAGTTAGCAGCAAGAACACTGATAATAGTAGACGCAAGTTCAAGTCCCGCCCGTGTCGTTTTTTTTTCATTGTGTCATTTGAAATCTGTAATGATTAAGTATTAAGTAGATTAAGAAGAGTTTATAGTTTAAGTATCATGCAATGCCCACAGAGCCATTGTATTCCGTTTCATTTGTGGGCGTTATAATAAATATTGATAGGTCGATAAACATATCGCGCGTTATCTCCTCATGAGACTTGTTTGTCACAGGTAGGTTTCACTACATCGTCACAGTTACATACCAGTGATTTTTAACACCTGTGACTATTATAATAGTATACCATACGTAGTAAATACTTTAATAGTATATTCGTCTTTTTTCTTATATATTATTGAACTTATAAAAATCACTCTATTTATGTACATTTAACAACAACCCGTACGAAATAACATATCTGACTTTGCAATCTCTCCGCCAATATGGCCCCTAATCCTGGGACATAAATTTCTGTCTACTGAATACTATTAAGGTTGCAATTAACAATATTGCACCAGTCTGCGACGTAACTTTATGCACTGAATACTAGTCCTTTTTCTAAGTCATTTAGGTACGCATTTGTAGGCATTTAAATATAACAGTATTAACGTTTTAAAACACGAAATATTAGCTAATTAATTTCAACTACGTCATACTTTTCGCTTTTTAAACCGTTAAATTGTTGTTTTTACATGAAATCATTCCGTCTAACGCGGTTTAAAATAAGGAATTATATTAACTAATGCCCGATTTTAACTACAGATACTACACACAATACTCAATATCGTCAAATACTAATCACTGTTACAATATATTTGTAATACCTGTGATTAGTAACAGTTACAAGCACCTCACGCGGCACCTCTAGCAAAGTCACAGAACGGCCTAGTATAGTAATAAATTCGCAGTAAATATTGTGCATTGTGTGGAGGATAGATTAATTTAGCCATTCGACGCTATCGCACGCAGCCGCCCAAGATTTATGTATATAGCCAATACGAACGCCATATTGAAAAATATACTGTCCAGCCTCAGGATTTGATTTTGATAAGCCGTGACAAATTGTATACGACTTGTGACTCGTTCATTCTTCGACCTTTGCTAATATTTTAGAGGTGTGAGAAATTTTAATAAGACACTTCTGAAAGAACTGCATCCGAACTAAACTATCAAGTACTTGCTGCAGAAGTCTGTAGCTTTTTTAATATCCCCTAAAGAACCCGACGTCCTCGTCAAACTGCTCGCTGTTGGTAAAAAACTACGGCGTCGATACCCATCCATTGAGACAAAGGAACAAAGTTGATAGGCATACCGACCGCTCTTCGACTGGTAGACTAGTGCGCTCTCACAAGAAGCACAACCTTCACCAATCCGATAAGGAAAAAATTTAATCTAATATTATGTAAAGCTAATTATTTGCTTTTTTTATTTTTCATAAAATTACATGGGAAAAATCTAGCTCTGAAGAGTTTTTACTTTGCCATCAGGAACACCCTACATCTTTACTCTCCCGTGACCACGGTAGCTGCAAGTATCGATCGAGCCGTAGTTAAAATGATATTAAATAAGTATATCTAATATTTTGTTATAAACCGTTAAAGGTGTTTTATTTAAACAATTAATTTCTCGGGTTCCAATCTAGGATCACTAGCCCTTAAAGGAACGGGTTTTTCTTTTGAAGTATGAGTGGGGGTTAGAAGGGAACTTAAAAAGAGTATAGTCGGTTTTTTAAGTACGATCGTATTTTTAAAGTAATTTATGTTATGAAATTAAAAACTTATCCCTAGTTTTATGTACGATGTGAATAATTTAGAATGATGTATTTCCTAACTATTATAAACCACAGAATCTCATCAACATCTAACAAACGCTGTCTCTGAATATTCGTATTTCGGATAAACGCACGCAAGCCAGTGTTCTTAAGGCTTGATTTATTAGTGTGCTAGGTTTCAGGTCGTATAACAATATGTTGTTTGTGTTGGAAGGCTTAGGTACTTATTCAATTATTGCTTTCGTTATAAAAGTTATAAGGCTTTTAAAACTATAACCCAATAACATTAAAAACTTAGAATACACATTCGATTTTTTTTAGAAACAATATACATAATAAAAAAAGAGTAAAATATTTTAACTATGAATTGATGTTTCCAATCGTTAAAGATGATCTATTTGAATCCCCCAAAAAAAGAGAAGAAAAAAATTTTTTTGGTTTTTTACGTGTGTTTTGATCTTACAAAAATTTACAATAGTAAATGAGTTATTTATGTAATGTATATGTAGGCAGATTATGATATGATTATACATAATGATAGATAAAATATCTATAATGATATATAAAACTATGCATATACCCTAATATTATAAGCATTTTTTAATATTTATCTTTCTTGTTAATTTTGTTTTAATCTATAAGTACATAATGCTGTTATGGTAGGTACTTTATTTATCATAAAGGACAGCACTGTTTAGTTTACTAAATAAATTAATATTTCCTACACTTTAACAATAAATTAAAAACTTGTGAAATAAAAATAATATATTTCAAACAGCCGCTACAGTTGTAACAGTTTCATTTGTAGCTTTTGTTGTTTTATTACCTTCGGCGACAGCAACCGTGGTACCAGTAAACTCCCCACTTCCTGTACCACCCGAACTGACTGTCGTCGTTGAGTTCAGTTCTGTCACATTACCTGTGGTAGAAGCAATATCAACCTCAGTCGTCTCGACCTGGTCACCAGCGTTAATAGCATGGTAATCTGGTGGTGCTGCTCTCGCTGAGTAGATGCAAGTAGCTACGCATTCGTATTCATCTTGAAACATATTGAGATTAGGGAGGCAACCTCGCCACAGACCCACTTCGCAGCGAGATCCAGGTCGCCAGTAGTACATGACAGGTACTGGGGGACGTCCACAGTCTTCCCATCTGAATTTTGCGAAGCAAATTGCTGGAGGCACTGAAGTATTAACGTATGATAGTTATTACTTACATTTTAAAGTAAAAACATTTTAAAGTGGTAAATTATAAATTAATTGTTTAATATATTTAGTAATGGCAATAGACAGTATCCTTTTTCTTTTTGAGACGAAATTTCCTAACGTATATTTAACAACCTTCGTTGTCCCATTTTTTTTTATACGTAAAGACAAACAAATATAAACACAATTCCACAATTAGAGTTAGGAATAATGATTGAGATTGGGTAATTAATATCAAATAGTTTTTTTTTACAACAAGACTTCACTATTTTTACCAAGCAGATACATTTAAATGCAATAAATCATTTCTAACGGTTCAAAACGGGATATATATTGATCGACTAACTACGACCCGATGTTTAGGTTGATACGGTAGTTGTGATAAGGTGGCGAAAATTCCAAATAAATTCACTAAAATTTTTCAGGTTTAAAACCGTTTTAAACTTTGATATGATATAAAAAAATATAAACTATATTCTCTTTAAAACTTCAAAAATTATTAAGATTCGTCAAACGTTTGACGTGCAGCATTGCCAAAAATTCAGCAGGCAAGGACATCTTTAAAGATTACGTGATATAATGTTGATAGCATCGTTTGATGTTCTCTATTTGTAAGGTTTTAACGTACGTTAACAATGTTGTTAATGTTTCGAAGTTATTACGAGCATTAAACCTTAAGAGTCACGCATGAGCCGACGCTCAAATTTATTCCCTTTTAACGGCATCTACCACATTGTTGCTTTATGAAATTGTTACATTATTGTAGGACTATTTTACACTGGGTACAAAGGTTAGTTTATTTCAGTTGAGTTATTCGTAATTACATTTTACATTTACATCACAGCTTTTTATACTTATAAAAATATAGGTGCTAAAATATTTTGTGAAGCGGCTAATTTACCACAATAAGCAAGTATAAAGATTTGAATTCATTCTTAAAAAAATAAAATGCTTACCATTTATTATATTTTAAATATTATTTATCAATGTCGATACTAAACATTGCATTAACAATTCTTATTACATATTAACTTTAATTTTTATAAAATTTAATTTATATAAATTTTTAAGTAAGAGTAATTTGTATATAAGCGTCACTTTTAGGCAAAATATTTTATAAATATAAAAACTCTTTAACGTTTCAAAACGCAATATATTATATTAGTTAAACTCATTGTAATCACGGCCCGACGTTTTGGGTGCTTTGCAGCAGCCGTGGTCACGAAGAGACTAAATATAACTCAAATGTCAAAGTAGAACTGCCACACTAGCGCCATCTGTTTCGTCGTAGGTGGTATTTAGCGAAACTGTATTTTAGTCTTCTATACCCTGCCCTAGCGACACTAAATGAAGATCCCGGGATTTAAAGCTCGGTACTATACTCGACCATTAAACCCAAAAGCCCAGTTCATTGATATATAATTATGCATTTAATAAATTTGACGCTATAAATATAATTGTAGAAATATTATATAAACATACCAGCATTTATAGTTCTGCAGTATAAATAAACGAAAGAGACGAATGAGAATAAAATGTACATGTTAGCATAACAAGCTGTTAATAAATAAATTTTTAATTAACAAATTTTATGATCGCGGTATATGTTTATTGTATGAATGGCTATAATGAAGGTATTTTATCGTAATTACTTGTAATTAAATTGGCGCAATTATAATACAACACGTTAAAATAATAAACAACACACACAAAAATTTAAATAAAAATATTATCCAAAGACTGTCTGTAGTTTACGCGAGTAATACATATTTAAATAAAACACTTTACCGTTCTAACGCGGGACCCAGTCTCCCCGTGAACACGGCCGGTGCAAAGCATCCGAAACTTCGGACCGTAGTTAAGAATAATTTTCAAACAAGTTTAATTAAAATATATAACGTTTTAAACCGTTAAAGTGTTTTATTTAAATAATTTTAAAATGTAAAATTAGTATTTATTTTATCTACGTAATGCTCATACATGTAGAGTCTAATCCATTAAATATCGTGAACTGCAAAAAAAATATAGATATAAACATGATCAGAGATAATTATAAAAATCTCTAATTGGCTTACATGTAGTATGATATACATTCTTTCAGTTATGCAACAATTTATAAAAATAATATAATATTTTATACCTCTAGCTAAACTTTTTTTTAAACAATAGATGACAAACGGGTGTGGTGTTCTCTTATAAAAAGATAAAATGCCCCAGCACTGAGAACATCCTTTTTAAATGTGTTGTGTTATAAATTTGAAGAGGTTGTTAGTTTAAACGGGAAAAATCAGTTCAAATTAAAGAAATATTTTGGTGTTGGTTAAAACATTCATCGAGGAAGGCTTTAAGCAATACAAAACACGCTGTGACCAATAGGAACGGAAAACAGCGGGAAATGTGGAAAAACGGGAAAATAATTCGTCTTTGTAGGTTTCCATTGCGTGCGCTGCGAAAACAGTTTAAGATAAAATATATCTCTGAAAGAATGATTATTCAAATGATCTAAATAAATGTCAGCGACTAGTATTTTATCTTTTAAGATTAATTGAAGAAGAAGGATTGGGAGTAAAGCTAAATTTTTAAAGATGAGGAGAAAATTTGCAAAGACAAATTTTGACGTCTAAAAAAACTATCCTATGCGGACAGAGTCGCTGGCACAGCTAGTTAAGTATATTTATGTATATGATTTGTAATAGTACAGCTCAAATGATCGAAGGTATGCAAGCACGAAGTATTTATCCGGATATAATTAAGGTAACCGAATTTCAGCTGTAACTGCATGAAATTTACACTTTATGGGACACTCCAAAATATTAATGTGCAAGTCTTGTGTGTGTGTTTATTAATTCGCTGTACGTTCATACATTATTTATACGATAATATAATTAAAGTGCGTCACAGTGAAATTAATTTAGCGTTTAAATTATTAGCTTTTGAACGAGCTGCTCTGAATAGCGGCAATTAGCCCCGTAAATTTTGTTTGGTTAATTAAAATTAATTTTTGAATTTTAATATGCCTGCACTAATAATTTTATTATTGACGTCACACCAGCCGGTTCTTGGGCAATGAAGCGCGAAGTAGGGATGGGCTGGTAATTCGGTTTACATTGAGTTTTTTTCGAAATTTTGCAGCTTGGACCGAATTACTAGTAGACAAATATATGTATTAAAAATTAAAAAACCTTCGACTCGGGCAGACTTGAACCGGTATCGTCTAAGGTCCGTGCTGCTGCCCCAAGGTAAGCTTCAGAGTCCTCACCGTCGATTTTTTTCAACTTATTGATACATGCATTACTCGCGTAATGTAAATTTCAACCAAAGCACTTGATCATTGAAGGTGAAATTATAAAGTTATAACGTTTAAATTTTTTTACAATTGTATAATTACTTCAGTATTATATGCATAAAACTAATGAATAAAATGAGATCTTGGAATAATTAATATCATCATAAATGACACGTAATTTTAACATCTCATGTACCTAGTCATTCACAAGGTAAAGCTAAGTAGCAAAATGTTCATACCACTCCGGATAACTTCTACTTCAATAATATAATTTGAAAGGCTTGTTGGTTTAATGGTAGCAATGTACAGCTAATCAACAGGTCGTGGGTTCGAGCCCCACCATTTTCAACATTGTTCTAAATTTATAATTTTTCTGAAATGTGTTGAAGTCCATCTGTATATCGCGATATTAAAAGTCGTGAAGTTTAATCACGTTTCGGTTTGGGTCTGTGGATTTTCGAATAACTAAAGTCACAATGGGACGACAGCGCATTTTATTTAGGCTGGGGTATTTGACCTACCATCAAATGTTCTCCATGCTTATCTGTCCTCCTGTATCATAAAAATAACTTTAAATTCAGTGCATGAGAACCGTATTTGAACCGAACTTAGCTTCGGTTCAATTATACAACCCATTTCTAATTTCAAGTTTCTCAAACACGAAAATATTAAATCTGTTACATCGTAGTATAGGTATATTTCGAATTAATTTTTCCTCTTATCAGGAAATAGAAAGCAATCAACAATGCAAATAAATTCCGCAACGAAATATCGGTTAGTCAAATTAATAGCTAAACAATAAGGAAGTTCGGCTCGCGCCGGATATTATCTCGAAGCGTTCGACGAACTGTACCGTCTTATACAGGTTGTTAAAATATTTTAACTATTAAATATAATATATTCTTATCCCATATTGTAAAATACCAGAAAATCTCACTGCATACTCGTTACTTACATATACAGTCAGTTTGTGTTTAGTTTTGACGGGATGATTTAAAATAATCAAACCTGTAATTCAGTTTATACTAAATACTGTCATTAGTTCACCCGAGTAGTAACACACATTAAAAAAAACTTGAATGGTTACAAACGTAACGTGTAATTGGAGTTAAATGTTCATTTGGAAATTATTTTAACTACGACCCGACGTCGCATGCTTTGCAGCAGCTCTAGTTACAGGGAAACTGCTGAAAGACTTTTATTTAAACACTCTATTAGTACATAGCTAAAATAAAAAATATTTTTAAAATTCTTATATAAACAGTCTCACTTTTAATGACAATAACTTAATAAAACCGAAAGTGCAACTAGCTTACGCGTCATAAAAATTGACATTATGTCATTGTCGTTTCTAGTTTTGGTTAACTTTTAGTAAAATTTGTATATTATTTTTATTACTTACTTACTCCAATGGCTTGCGAAACTAAATAACGCCATTTTGCGCGGCTTTTCGCCATTCGGCCTCACCGAGCTCGAGCAAGTCTTTCTCCACGTCCAAATCTTTGTTTTTCATTATTTTTTTACACTTAACTTTTCTACACACTAATGTAGACTCTTATTTGAAAACCCTACACTTGGCGGCTTTTATTGATCCCCAAGTATGTGAAATTGAGAACACCCCTTAAATGATATAATATCTCTCGTACCTGGACTTGATAACAGTATAATACCAACTTTGTCCAGAATGTGTGAATGTTAAACTCAAGAGGAATCACCGAACTATCTCCGTTTGTTATAAACTTCGCATAGTCAATAACAAGTCTCTATTGGCTTTAAACTTTGACAAAACTATTGACAGAGATGAGCTTAATGCTATTAATATCTCAGTTTAACAACTCTGGATATTGATGGAATAATTATAGATTTAAAACTAAACATAAAAGTATCAAAATTGATTAAACCTCTTTTTGAAAAACAATTCGATTTTTAAACAATAAAAAAAGTAGGTTCTCAATTCGCTTCGTTTGTATATGCTTTTTCATGTCTTCTCGTGCATAAGTTCGTTATGACACGATTTTGATTATTTTTGTTAGAAAGTTATATTTAACTTCCAAAGTATATATGATAACAGACCATAGAAAATAAAGGGTAACTTTTGAATTTTTTTTAAGACTTTAAAGCACTACAATCGAATAAGTTTTTTCGAATCTCGGAAAACAAATAATAACTCTGTAGACGGGTAGAGTTCAAAAGGTAACTTGTAAAATAAATCGATAATTTAAACGGACACATTAATGTGTCCACCACCAACCCACAGATGGGACGTAACTCGCAATTTTCTCATACAAAGTATATAAAAATAATCACGCATTAAATCGAGATAAAGTTTACTTGGACTGAAGTGGAAGGTCTATGTACCGAGTGTGAGTGACATGTGTCCCGAAGGATCAACTTTATTACCAACTTACAGTTAGGCGTGAAAATGCTTTTGTAGCTTGTATATGTTGTTGAAGATACTATATTTTCACGATGTTAAAGAGAACATATTTCATGATATTCAGTTAGATTTTTGAGTAGTACATTTAAATAAAATTTTACAACGCGTAATGTATTAGTTTATTTACAAGATACATTTACTACGACCCGACATTTCGGATGCTTCGCAGCAGCCGTGTCCGTTAGGAGTCTCAGTCTGAGATCACGGCTGCGTTTTAAACCGTTAAAGTGTTTAATTAAAATGTACATTTACATTTTATTTTAACTATAACCCGTCTTTTCGGATGCTTTACAGCAGCCGTGACCACCATCAATAAAGTTACTAATTCATTTTGCGTGTTAAAACATTAAAAGTATTTTATTTAAATTTCCATACAACTCGTATTACAATAATAAATAAATTTACTTAGCTATAGATAGGAAATATTATTAGACGTGGATGAAAATTATTTTTTTTTATCCACGTGTATTTATTTAGGATTTTCTAGATAATATAAGTACTAAAAGACTTAGCGGACTATCATAATCTATTATAGACTACCAGCTATACTATAGCTGTTTTAAACTAATAAAAAAGCTATAACTATATGCAAATCTAATTCAAGCTGTATTAAGTTGCACCAATAACGTTCTGTCTGGTAAGTGCTAACAGCTAGGGCTTCACCCCATTAATTGATTTTTAATCTCATTTTGAAGCTGTTCGCGTTATTTCGACTGTCTGTTTCATTTAAATGGGGATTAGTAGAAAATGGAGTTATAATCGAATTCCTTTAGATCAATTGCCGACGAATTGAAAAACGTGTTAGAATTTTTACACATCACAATCTTAAGTGTTAAGTTTGAAATTACATTGCGCGAGAGTTGCGCATTTATCAATAGATGTGTGTGTAGGTTTCAGTAGCTCAATTGGTTAAAGCTACAGCACGGACGCTGTGATACCGGTTCAGGCCCTGCCTGAGTCGTATTTTTTTCAAATTATAATCGATAGTTAATTTATATAGTGCCATCATGTGAAAAATATTAAAGTTGAAATTAAAGTTCGTTTCAGCAAGTTGACATTCTAAAGAAGGGCTCAGGCCTCGTCTAGCATAGGAACGGGTTAGGAGCTTAGACCCACCAAGCTACTCTAATGTGGAATAGCAGGCATTCTATTAAATGCATTTAAAATGTTACACTCGGCACAGGCGACACAATAGTCAAATAACAAACTTGATACTCTCTAGTCTCTTGCTTATTTTTATGTTATTCCCGTACATAGTCCCGTACATAATGGACTGTAGTAGAATAAAAAACTATATACATATTTCAAATTTTTGATTATAATAAAAAGTGGCCTCGTTGTTAGCATTTGATATTAATTATTGACAATTTTTTTAATTCTTTCGTGAAATCAATATCTAAAATCTCTCAAATTATGGCCCAGTATTTCATACAACAGCTTACTGTTCGCAATACAACTGTGGCGAACACTTCCTCGCAAGTCGTAGTACAATTGGGCGCCGCAAAATTATTAGCAACTACAGTTAATTCGTAGACGCTTATTAGTCTCTCCGCAAAGTTTCCATTGTCCGTACAATACTACACCCACCGTCCCGCCGCAGACCGGCTGCCGACTTATAATTTATTGCCACCAATTTAATAGGAAATGGCTTTAACAATTGCCCTAATAATATATATAACTGGAATACTAGGTTGTTAGCAATTAGCCTAATATAACACCTAAATCGTTTGTTGATAGATATTGTAGTTTACACGAGTAGTAGACATTTAAATAGAATAATTTTAACTCCCGTGAACGTCCCTGTGATCATGCATGAAACGGAAGCATTCGAAACGGCCGACAGAAGTTAAAATAAAATAAAAATCCAATTATATATATCGCGTCGTAAACCGTATAGTGTTTCGCTTTATAGAAATTACGCTCAAAGTATATAATAGTCATAATGAAAAAATGTGTTGAAACTTTATTTTTTATTATAAATTAATTAACACGTAAAATAAATCAAAAGTAGTCATTAAGAAATTTGTTCGCGACTTAAAATACTGTATACATTATCTGGGACGTATTCGGAAAATATGAAAAAAAAACTGATCCGTTGCATGTTTTTTGTTTGCACAACTTGATGTAATTCACATAATGTGTCGCAATTTAAATGTCATTGCAATACTCCATTCATTACAAGGCGGCAACTTATGAATGAATTTACAATATGTATATGTAGGCTTTCAAATTTATACACGCTACTATAATATTGATAACCCTGTAATAAATACTGTCCCTAGTTTACGCGAGTAGTACACATTTAAATAAAACACTTTAACGGTTTAAAACGCGATATATTAGTTAAACTTATTTGAACATGTTTTTTAACATCGGCCCGACAGTCCATGTTCAGTCTCCCCGTGACCACGGCTGCATCCGAAACCATCCGAAATATATGTATATCGCGTTTTAAACCATTAAAGTGTTTTATTTAAACTCTGTAGTAATGAATGTATCTATATTAAGATTATATAATATTATTATATAGCCCCCATATTAGCCTTTATTTTTGTGGTCTAAAAAGTTTTCTCTATTATTTTAGGAAAGAAGAAGATATATAAGCACGGGGTTCACTTGAAATGATTATTGTATGTTTTGTTGATTTATATCAATATCCTAATCTTCCAAGTAACAAAACATTTGCCAGATCAGCTAGTATCATGATATTATCGTCATAGACGTTACAAACGTTTTACTTGGTTTTATTAAATTTATAATTATACGTAAGTATTTGGTAATATCAGCGTACTAATTATTTTGATGCTTATCTTATTCTTAGGTTGCAAATTTCAAAAGCTGTATTTTTAGAAGTCAGAATTATTATTAAGAAGTCGAGAGTGGACTAAGTTAAATAGTAAAACAATTAAGTATGTTACACGATCATAGGTCTCGTTTGATTTCCTTCTTGCCTTTTGTACAATAAATAATATTCCACAAGTACTACTAATCTTCACGAATGTGTCACAGATGAAGTATATTTAATTAAACGAGTGCTAATAAAATAAGTTACCATAAAATGAATAAAAAAAAGAAAACCTTATAGTATTATAGTTGTATTAGTTAATATAAGCAACTAGGGCTTTAACAACACTTGCGCAAGTCTCTTTAGCGGGAGCACAATTTACAAAAGAAAACCCCTTACCGCCTTTATACACTTTAAGATTATAACTGTCACACACAAGGTTACTCAAGTAATTATTCACTGAACGCTTTAACAAGCGTTTAGCAATAAATGGTATTTAAAAATAAAGTTAATCAAAATCCATTGAGTAACTAGCAGGTGGTCCCTTGAACTTTAAAACCTGTTCAATGCGACATTTAGACTACAAAAAATATGATTGAATATCTCCTGTACCGAAAATAATTCAGAGAAGTATCTTATATATTATCGTAAGAACGTAATTCTCTACATATTATTTTGATACTTTTTAAATAATATTACCCAACGTCGCTATCACGCAGTCAAACGTCTTGTGTTTAGACACTTGTTCCTGGGTGTTATAAAGAATTAGCTGTATCAGGAACTTCGTCCGTATAGAATAGTTATTTTGGACATCCAAATTTGTTTTCGCAAACCTCCTCTTCCTTTTTATAAATTTAAGTTGGTAGTTAATCAGAAAAAACAGACATATTGTGTCGCGGACATATTTTTCAACAACACTATAACTTTATATATTAGTATCGATAGAGAATGTGTTTCTGACGATGGTACACAGCGCAGTGAGGATTAATAAAAGTTATAGTGTAAAAGAACCTAGACCCACCACTCCACCAACCCACCACATTCACGAGGCAGTTGCGTACGAAATACTAAAAATATAGCCTGGTGAGATGGTGGCCAGCTAATGAGTTTTTCGTGGTAGCAATCTCTCAATGTGAGGTCTCATTGACCCACAAATCATAATTACTGCTATTGATATCGATCCAATATTTCGAAATTAGCTCGAATGTAATTGAATGATTACCGCTAATTGTTCTGCCGACATTGCAAACTGTCAGGTATGTCAATTCACCACGAGCAGTTGTTGAAGGCA